CTAATTTGTGTTGGTTATATTAGAAAAAAGTAAAAAAAAAAATAAAAAAAAAATACCAGTTTGTGGTTGCAACATGACAAATCCTGAAAATGTAGCGTATAAATATTTTGCAAGACACTGCATCTCATACAGAATACTCTTGTTTTTAGTTTAATTTTGTGGAAACCTTCCAGCTACTAGAAAGTTTAGACGGAATCCTTGCATGCAGGTGTGATGGTACTGCTGACAAACAAGTCTTGACCTTGCTTGGATCTCCCACATCAGACAGTTGGCACCATATTATAATAAGCCGTAACTCCATGTTGATAGGCCGCCGTGATGCCTTTGACGAAACCCTGAGATATTTAACAAGTTGGGGAAACTCACGAAAACCTCGGCTTTGGCAGCTGTCAGACTTTCTAACTTCAGCATGACACAAATCCAATTTCATTTCCTGCCGTCTTCGCAGTCCCTGTCCAAAGGTGTATATGCTTTTGCCATACGAGCATTTATATATGAACCAATATGCATTTCACTCAGCTTTTGCAGACTGGAAGGCTGAAATATACAATGTTACAGATGGTCCACATTTCCCTCATTGAAATGCTGAGTTTGATGGAGGTTGTCCTTATTTTTCCCATAACATGATTAATCTATAATGTTACCTCAGGCTGTGTGTTTGGAAGTGCAAGCCTTGCTTCACCTCTTCAGGTGCAGACAGGTATTGCTATTCCCTGCACATCTCTGCTTGACATGAATGGATTCTCAACATGTCTCAGGTTTAACCCTTCTCTAAATTGGTTTGGGGGAATTCGTATAAAAACAACATCCAGGGTCGCCAAGGCATGCACACACCCCATAGTCCCTTCAAATGACATATTGTGATGGTGTGATGCAAGCGCAAGCTTTAATTAAGCTATAAATTAACATACATCTGTTGCAACTGCAGAGCACTTTCCCTGGTCTGAGGGTAGTTCTTCCTGCTAACACCACAGTTATCCATGTATGCCTACTGCTGCAGCAAATGGTCTAATTATGTTGACTATATCAGTACATTTGCTTGTGAGCTGCAGGCTCTGTCCAGTTCTTTTATTAGACCAAAGATCCAGGCTAATTAAGTCATTTTGCTGTGGCCTTTTTTTCTCTCCATGTACATATCTCATCATGATTCCATGTCCTTTAAGAGAAACAGAACTGCTGCACAGACAAAAAAAAAAAGGTATTTTCTTAAATCTAGGCTTATGCTATTGTGACTGATGTAGACCAATTTGAACCAGCCATTAGGTCAAACATTCTGAGCCATTTTGTTGGGGGACAAAACGTCTCGACAGGAACCTCATCATTCTTTTCAGACTGCCACTTTGAGATTAAGACGGCAGCGATACTTTCTCAAAGCATGACAAAGAAATGCCAAGATGCTAAAATATTATTATTCACAACATCAGAAGGTTGTGTTAATGACTTTAGTTCACATGACAGAGAACATGTTCGGTCAATATTAGCCTTCTATCTTTAAACTAGCTAGAGGACGGTAATGATAGTTTTGAAGGTCATTCAAACCCAGACCAATGAACTGGTCATAAAGGCAGCATTTTAAACGATATAATCTCCTGAATTTGAATGTAATTATGCATTCATAACTACATTCTGACTGTGTGATATAAAAACTCAACGGACTGTAAGAAGTTGCTAAGTTTGACTTTCTATCAGACGTGTGGTGTGAAGGAGCTCCTTTAAAACCTTGACAGCTCAAAAAAAGACTTGATGTTTCCAAACTGAGTTCCTGTGGTTTGAACCTCAAAAGGCCAGTCATGGTGAAAAGATTGTGAAGATCATTGACACAATCTTGACTCTGAAGATTGGGTCAAAATATCTCTACTATAATAGATTTCTTAAGACTTCTTGCTACTGCTTGATGCCCGTCGAGTTGGTGAGACAATCGCCTATAAGATTTGGGAGGTAAATACATTTTCAAATGGGACCAGGTATGTTTGGACAACCTTTTTCCCTTAATAAATGAAATCATCCTTTGAAAACTACATTGTGTATTTACAAAGATTGTTTTCTCTCTTATATTAAAAATTGATGATCTGAAAATTTTAAATGAGAATTCAAACCAATTTTCTGTTTTTTAGAAAATCCCTTTTTTACATCACTGTGATTGTGACACGAGACTAAATTGAGAGCAGGGACTCATCCGAAGGAGCACCAAGACAATCATGGAGGAGTTGTAAGGGAATACAGATGAGTATAGTATTAAAACTGTCTTCTTTAATGGTTAGTAACACTTTTTTTTTTTTTTTCCCCCCTCCGGCTTTCAAGCACCAGATGGGGCAGTCTGACTTAATCTATATCCGCTCTCCCCGTCACCCTGTCTGTCTTTTCCTCTCCATTGCTCACAGCTATAAACATATATGACCGGTCTGTGTAAAATTCCCTCATCTTTGCGGTCGTGACCAAACTGCCGTGGTCTCTGTGCCTCTGTCTAGGCAGACGTGAGACTACGGTATGCTGATCCACACTGCTGTGCATGTGGAATTGCACACAGATGATTATTAAAGCATGGATACTGGGAGCTGCACGGGTTGGAATGGACTGCATAATAAACCCCTCCAAAAATCTCGAATATTTCACTGGAATCCACAAAAATATATTCTTGCTGTCATTTGGTATACACCCCTACTTATTAATGCATGAAGCTCGCCTCCACAAGACATAAAACACGCTGTGCTATTCATTTAAATATGTCTATATGCAGATTATAAATAATAGAGAGCCTACATTAATTTTAACATACCTGGTGCATATGGTAATGGTTACCATGATAGATAGAGATTCGACTTGAAGCATCCTCATCAAGTGGAAGCTATGAACTGGAAGCAAAGTTATTTTAATCGCTTTTAGTGCCATATTTGAAAATTTGTCTATTATAGTACGTTTAATAAAACATATCCAACTTCTTGGGTATTCCTTATGTATACAAAGCAAAAGACATAAAAAGACTCTCAATCGAGATTTAATACAAAAACAAGACTTTATAGCGTTCTACATGCACGTCTTCTCAATATAGCAAGATGAAGGGAAAAGGGCAAATTTGCATTGGGAACAAAAACTTCAAGGAATAAGGATTATTTTTGGGGCCCGTGTGAAGTTAGGCCACTTTCTAAAAATGAATAATTCACTGAAGAAATGTTTTCATCATGTTGCTTCATACATGAGTGAAATTAAGGGATTTATATATCCTCCTTTGGGATGTTTTGAATTTTTTATGCTGTTTTTGACGCTGCTGAAAAGCTAAACCTCAAGGTTAAATCGACTGTGTTAAGAAAATGATAGAAGATCAAAACACTGTCATTGTATTTTACCCGAGCCGACGTGCGGCTGGGATGAATTAAACATAAATGTCTCTTCCTCCTTTAGCTGTTTAGGATAATCGGCTGTCATTGTGAGCTTATTTGATCACAAAATGTATGTTGTACTGTTTGACAGTGAGAATGGTGAAACAACTATTTATTTTTTTTTTTTTAAACAAATGCATAATCTAAAACAGCCACTAGGGGCAGTGCTTGATCTTTTAAAAACATATAATTTATTTGGATGTTACTGCCTTATAATTGAAGAAACTTTCATTTTATATAATGTATTATTCTCTCTGTTATGGCTTAAAATCCTCTCAGGGACGAGGTACATTCTTGATGAAAAAGTGCCACAGAAGGGAGAGAGTGAACTGTAAATTACTTCAAGTTTGAAGCAAATTATTGAGTCGCTTATTTAAAAGTTTCAAATAACAGTAAAAAGAAAAAAAAAACCCTCATATGTCTCGTTCACAGGAAGCATTCATGTGTCCTGTTCATTCTCTTCCCTTTTTTTATTCCACTGACATGCAGACACAATGGGTTTATTTTTAGAAGTGTAAAGTCACTGGATGAGCCGAAGACAGTTCATCTCAGCATAATTGTTCTGAAGTGCACTTTTGGTGCCGATTAACTAATCAGATGTTGAGGTTTATTTGATGGGCCAACTGGACAGGTTAATTATTCGAGGCTGTATTTTAGCACATGAACTTTGAAATAACATTAATAGCAACATAGCTGAAAAAACAAAAATAAAATAAAAATCACATTTGACAATGCATGTGTTCCCCCAATATGTCACCCTGAAAATGCAAATCACTGGATCTATGAGGATCCAGTGATCCTGGAATCATCATGACATTTAAGGAGTGAAATCATTTTTGGATACATTTGAATTAAATCCAGCTATTCACAGTTCTATTTAAATTCTAAGCATCTATAGATAATTGTTTCAGGATTTTTTAAATATAATTTACAACAGCCTGGCAGTTTTAGTACTTGATAGAGCAGCTTAGACTGTGGCCTGTCCAATAGATCGTGACGTCTGAATGATTAATAAACTGAACAACGCGTCCACTCCAGACCAATCGACTAGACCCCAGACAACACGTGTAAGTAGGAGCACTTAGTATCCATTTAGCCCAGTTGGATATAAGGCCTGAGCTAGTAACCAAGATACTAACAAAGGATGTGACCTTGGTTCACAACGGGCTTCCTGTATAGGATCATTTAGGTTGACAAACATACAACATATGTTGGTAGTAAAATGGAAACACGGTCTACTGTGCCTAAAATAGATATGGGAAAAATGGGTTCAATCTGTGTAATATGTTAAGCACTCTGGTATGAGTCCCACTTTATTTTCAGAGCTTTTCTGGCTCAAACCCACCCAGACTGTTAACACAGGGCTATTGGATAATGGTCAGTCCCATATGGGAGCCATTGACCAACCCATTTCCTGCCAATATTTATAATGTTGGCTGAGAACAGGAAAATGATGTCCATCATACACTCCAAAGCACAATAACCCCTTACTACAAATAAATACTGAAAAAAAGTATAAAAAATGTCTTATTTAATCATATATTTATCAAATTAACACATTTAAATAAACAAAGATGCATATATATATATATAATCATCAAGCATATTTATTGTCAATTTTATTTCTTAATTGACATGTAGAAATAATTATTCCTTTATTGCTTAATGGCACAGTTGGACTTCCATAGACTCTCTTTCTTTCACTGTTGAGAATTGAAGGCGCTGTCCAGCTCGCTGGTGGTGCTGAAAGTTTCTGCTCTGTGCCCACGACCGACTTAACCAAACAATTAAGAGATATTTCCGTTTTTTTATGACATCCACAAGAAATATCCTTTAATTGTAAGATTATGCCCATCGAGAAAGTCCGACTTCTCCCTCTTCTTAGCCGGTTTGTACACGCAGAGGTACATTTGGGGATAAGTGGTGCCCAGATGCGGATTTACAAGCAAAAGTAACGCACAAAACAAAGCGATCCCACGATTAAAGACAAAGTGTGGCGCGCATTTTAAGGAATCCATTTCGCGGACATAGTTGTGTTCCCTTTTGCTTAATGATACCCCGGTAAGTCCGGCAGCCTGCTCCCCGGTACACTCCGTCGTCTTTTAGCTTGTGTCACGTCTCGCCTCTCATCAGTCAGCTACCGCCGAGGACGGATCGCGGCATGGAAATCCGTTTTTCTTTTTCCCCCCTCTCCCCATGACACACCAGCTGCGCTCCGCCGTTCCGCTTCGATCCTTCACGTCTCAGCCGAGGGGAGAAAAAAAGCGCACACTTCTCTCTCAAAAGTGAACTGTTTCTTCCACTTTTCACCTCTTTTGCAACATCTTTGTCGGATTTGGGCTCTCCAGTGAGAAATTCTCGCCTGTTTTTTTTTTTTTTTTTTTTTTTTCCCCCTCCGCCTGTCACAACCCCCGGCTTTTTTTTTTTTTTTTTTTTTTTTTTTTTTTTTTTACTATTATTATCATCGGCTCTCTTCGCGTCTTTCTCCGGCGAGTCCAAATCATTTCTCCCCGGCTCGTCAGGACGGCGGCAGAGTCGTGAAGTCTCCGCAATCACGTGATTGAGACAGAATTGAAGAGCGTCTTTTTTTTCTTTCTTCTCTATCTCCCCTCTCTCCTTGGTGTGTGTGTATGTGAACCTCTATCCGTGTGTAGTTAGAGGGGTGTCCCTCCTCCGTGTTTTTTCTCTTTTTTTTTTTTTTTCTCAGCTGCTTGCCATGCTTTAGACGCCGGAGCGCCGGGAGAGAGAAGCGGGAGTGAGAGAGAGGTGCGCCGGGTCTCTCCCTCGCCGGGCTGTACCTGTCTCCTCAGACCTATATCGGGTCCCTATCGGTTCCTCCTCGTCCTTTATGCCCACCTTCATGCGGTTGACCTGATTGTGTTGGCTTAGAAAGAAAGGAGAAAAAAACTTAGAAGGAAAGCATTTTTTTCTTTCTTCTTCTTCTTCTTCTTCTTTTATTTATTTCTTTTATTAGATTTTTTTTTTTAGATTTTCACCTGTCTGTTCAGAAGGGAAAAGGACCACCGTGGTTTTTTTTTTGATATCTACTGATTGTATTTTTCTTCTCCGGGGGTGTCGCTCCGTTTTGGACAGTGCAGGACAGTCGAGTTGAAAGCTTGGATGAGACGCCTCGCTGAAATACCGAGATGGAGTTGCTGCTGATCTGCTTTTCCTTTTGGATATTGCACTGCAATCCAGCCAATGCGGACTCAATCATTCATATCGGTAAGCGTCCGAGGAAACGTGATGCTCTTAGAGGCAGTTGTAAAGGAAATAAAAAATAATAAAAAAAAGCTCAGCCGACACATGAGATTGTAGTCAGACGGCGTTGTAAACAGTCTAACCAGATCGCCTCCTGTCTTTAACACTATCAAACGAGGTAAAAAGTTTTGGTTCCCCCACACCTCACCTCCTCTAAATGCCAAACATTTAGTCACGGCTATCTTCTTTCTGCCCACTATAACGTATTGAGTGATCTCTTGTTTTTCTGCAGGTATCGTCTCTGCATTCTCCCTGGCTTCAGATCAAAAGCCATAATAAGCACATAAATTGCGCTCCGTCTGCATTCAGAACACGGATTACAGTGAGACGCGTTTTAATTAAAGCTTTGAAGAGCTTGACGTCCATAAGCCAACATGCACAGGGGTTTCTTCTTCCTCTTCTGATTTTTTTTTTCTTTTTTTCGGCCACATCTTGTGCAGCCAACAAGCTTCAACTTTCACCCAAACGTGACTGCAATGTCAAATAACACAGAGAGAGAGAGAGATGGAGTGAGAGGGAGGGAGAGAAAGGGGTGGGGGACGTCAGCGGAGTTTTAGAGATGCAAAAGGGCATAGAGCCTCTTTGTACTCCAACTTCAAACCAGGGGTATGCAGAGATGGAGGCATCCTTTATCAGAGGATGTTCAAACAGATTCTCTTCAAACATGGCATTAGGCTTTATTTTTTTTAATCCAAACAAATCATTTGCATTAAATATTTGCATCTCCCCCTCAGCCCCCACCTTGTCCTGATCAGATCACAGCGACCAGCCTTGTAATCCCTGATAAAAATGTCAATGTCACTGTGTTCAGATTTCCGTTCTGTCGCTGCTGCTGCTGCTGCTGCTGCTGCTGCTGCTCACAGTTTACTGCAACAGTCTGGCAAGCAGCAGGTGCTCAGTCACTGGCTTAATACAGCAGCGGGACTCCATCCAGATGATGTTGGCTGATGCTTTGCATAGCGTTATAGGGTACCCCAATTATATCATGAATTCCCCCTCACAGCGATATGCGTGTGCACTTTTCCAATCGCCGGCCGATGCCATTTTGATCAACAGAGGAGCAGAGGTGGTTTAGAAGCAGCGTGCCTCCTGCATGCAAACCTATCATGCTCAGTAGGTCGTGTGCATTAGGTCTGATGAACAGTTGCTGCTGCGGATAATAGACTCGGCACATCAAATGTTGCAGTCTTCACCCGTGGCAGACTAAGCTCAAACTAGATGATGCTGGAGATTAAATGTAGTCGTGTCACTTTGATGAATGGTATCAACAGGTCTGTGAATGACCTGGGATTACATTCTGTAGCCCCGACCTGGCATGGACGCCTTTAGGCTAGACCAATGAAGGTGTGCTGTGGTATCTGGTGCCCAGATGAGCAGCGGTGCGTTCCAGTTGAGACGCCCTGACCTGTCTGCGGCCCCCATATGCAGCAACGGTGATGCACTCCGTTTTCTGAAACCTTTATGTCAGAAGCAGTGTGAACTGCTACAGTAGTTTGAGCTTCATTGGTTCATTTGTTCAGACACCAAGTGCCTCAGTGAGCCTTAGCCTTGACTCTGTTGCCGGTTCACCACTGTTCATTTATTTTACCTCGTCTGGCAGATGGAATACCCTACAACAGTTGATCAAGATGTTCTGAGCAAGTGGTTTCCCCATTTTTCTTGCTTTAAAGTCGTCAACTCCGAGGAGGTGTTGTTTACTTGGTGCCTCACCTGTTACTCACTAGTAGGTGCAATGCTGAAGAGACGATTGGTGTTCACTCATTCTCAACTCGGTGGTCATAATGCTATGTGTGAGAAGTGCAAGTCTATTTCTCGCGCTGTCCGAGCTCCAACATGTCATTCCCTCTTTGCACATCTCTTACGCGACTCTTCGTTTCCTACCAACAGGTGCCATATTCGAGGAAAATGCTGTCAAAGACGATGAGATTTTCCAACTCGCCATCTCAGACCTGAGTTTAAATGATGACATCCTGCAGAGTGAGAAAATCACCCACTCTGTGAAACTTATCGAGCCTAACAACCCATTCCAGGCTGTGCAGGAAGGTAAGACGCCGTCCCAGTTCCCCAGCAGCGATGTTTCTAATTGGTCTTGGTGACTTTTCTGATGGCCTGGTGGCATCTTAAGAAGGTGGTCTTTGTCTAAATAAGTCTTGTGGGAATCCTGCATCAAGTCTGTTTTGTCTTTCTTGCCAAAAGTCAAATTTTATTGTATTACGCGTCAGAAAACAATTTAAGGGGGGCAGCGGGGAGCCAGAAGATGATGACCCAAGGGTCTGGAAGTATTAGGGGAATGTTTGCATGCAATGTTGCCAAAGCAAGGTGTCTTCTGTGGTTGAAAAGCTAGGTGGAAGCATTGAGTTGGAGCACAGCAGCATGAAGATAAGATGAGGATCTAAAAAAAGACGTTTGAAGATGATCAAATGTTGCTTCAGCACTATGCCGCTGAAAATAAGAGGAGAGTATCGCTGGCTTGCTGTGCTGCTTTGAATAATGAGTGTCGCTGACTTGTTCACTTCCACAATTGTGTTGATTTTCTTTTTTTTTTCCTTTTTTATCTATTTTTTTTGTTTTTGCTGGAGATATTTTATCCGTCTCATTTGGCTTACACATTCTGTTTGACTGTACACACACACACACACACACACACACACAAAACCTATCAGTTTTTTCATCAGGTTCTGCCAAGGTCATCCTTCTCAAACATTAAACAATGGTCCTGTTGACTGCAAAAAAAAAGTAATTAAACAACCTTCCACTAAAATGAATCATTAAGACTTTAATAGGTTCTCGGGGACCTTCAAAAGCTGTTTATGTCCCCTACTCTTCCTCACGGAGTATGGACTTTTGTCCCCTGTTGCACAACGGCCTTGATGACTCATTGCTATTCACAGTATTCCTGACAGGCACAAAAACTGATAATATGTCTCGGCTTCTGCTAAAATTATCGCACCGTCATTCAGCTCTGGCGTTAAACTGTCAGTGATATCTGGTGTTCTTATTCACGTGTTCTTTGGCGAGCCTAGTAGACGTTAACTTGATTTGCTTTAACAGCGTCCATAGTTCGTTGCATCTGTTTCCAGGTCTGGATTTGAGAAATATTTATTAAAAAGTTTGTGAATAAAAAAAAAAAAGTGAGCAGGAGCAAAAGTCACCAAAGAGTGAAAACGTTGTAATTAAGTCTAAGCTTTATGCAGCACATGGTTGTCAAAGGAAAACGGCGGCGAAAGGGAATCCTCCAGCTCATATGTGACGACATAATGTGAGAATTTACGTGTCAATTTGTCCAGTAAGGATGAGGGAGTTTGTGGGAATATTGTCTGAGATCAGTAGCTTGGAGATCTAATGAATTGGCACCTAATCTGATTTAAAACCCTTATGGTCCCCGAGTCGGCCTGAAATTTACCACAGTGTCAAATCATTATTGCTCTGGTGTGTCCCAGCCAACAAGAATAACTTACATTAATGTGCCATAGAACGAGAGACTCGCTTTTCTACACATAATTGGTCCCTGTTTTAGTCATGAAGACTTAGCACAGCAATGGAGTTGTCAAAAGTCGTATCTCGCATCACCGTATGTAAATCTGTCTGTAGCTCTCGCATCAATATTCTCACACTCAGACAGCGAGGAAAGAAGTAAGTTGCTGCCGCAGCTAATTACTGGAGGTAAATTTGCAGAAAGTTCATTTGGAGAGGGAGTTTATTGATTCATCTTACTAATACAGCCTGCAGAAATCAACAGATGGGTTGGGTTCAAAAGAGAACATAAGCAAAACAAGATGGGCAAAATTGTGCTTTGTGTTGCCTAAAATACTTTGTGCTCAAACAATTACACCCACAATCATATTAATGGACCAGCTACTGACTGTGCTAGCTAAGACGAGCCAAGACAACTCACTTGAAAGTGAGTTTGTGATTTATGTTTGGTATTTTAGGATTCTTTAGCCCTAAAATATTTTTTGCCCAAGTCTCGAGAAGAGATTCAAAGATACTGCAGAAATAAGCCGACCATAAACATGCATTGCTTGACTTATCTAACTAGCGAACACACGACAATTAAATGTAGTGGGCAACAAATTATTTGCCATTAGTTCTTTAAATTAATTAACTCAGCAGCGGTGAACGAGGGAGTTTGCACATGCTGAAGAATACATATAGCTCATGCTTATTATCCTAGCAAGGGTTTCTTTTGACATTTTTAGGGTTCAAAATCCCCAGGAGTTCTTGATAACACTTTTTATCATTGCTGTTTGCTTTTTTCTTTTTTTTTTTTTGAAAACAACTTCATTTCCATCCGGTGATTGAACATCCTTTTGTCAGCCTTGATTAGATATCATTTAACACTCTTAATTATTGTTTACAGCTCTGCCCCTGAAAATCAAATATTCACAGAAGCAAGTGCTTTGGAGGGAGAGGGGGGTAAGAAGTGTGTGTCTGCTTGTGTGTGCGTGCGTGAGGGTCTGCTTCGGTTTCCAGAGAGCATGGGGAATAATGTGGAGTCGATGATGTGAGGATCGATGGGTGGCCTCAAATTCTTGCACCAGAGGCAAGACGGGCTGGAGTGTTGAGTGACAACGGGGATAAGTTAACCTTTTTGCTATGCTCTTTTGTTCGCGGCCGTCCCACTGTGAGCAGCAGTCAGGATCTTGCTACAGAATGAAGGAGGAAGGAAGAAGGAGAGGATGGACATGAGCATGGCGGGGAGGGAGGGAGGGAGGGCTTGGAGAGTGGAGGGGAATGAGGATGAGATGTGCAGAAGTAGAAGATGCTGCATGTGAAATGAAAGTGAGCAAATTGGATTAAAGATGGGAGGAGCAAAGAGAGAAGTAAAAGAGATGAATTAGGAATGGCTTACAAAATCCACGTTTCATGGCTGCAAAATAGTTTTGCTTCGTGGCTACGATCTTCAATTCAGTTCCCTTTCTCATTCTGTTTCTGTCAACGTCACATTAGTATCATTTTTCAGCAGTAGATAATCCACCATTTACCCCTTTTAAAGTGCCAGCTATTCTCGTAGAATTGAAAATGTAGTAATTTAAAAAAAAAGGCTGAGGCAGTTCGATGTTAGGCTCATCACTGTGACAGCAGTGGCATAAAGCTTAGAGTGACTTTTATTTTTTAAGTATGGCGCAGATATTGTAGAAACCTTGATGATTTGATCTGACAACTGTTAGTCTTTTCGCAGACTCTGAACCCGACGTGATTGAGCTTGAACAAATTTTCGAAGTTGAATGGCTGAAAAATTTTATTTTATAGATATGTAAAGCTGCAATTGCAAAAAAATGTGGCAATTAAAAGTGCTACGTTCCTTCGACTTCACAATTTTGCACTACTTTATGCAAGTCTGTCACATGAAACGCCATGAAAGAGTTGATGTCTGTAATTGTAGAACAACATGGACAATTTGAAGATGCAGGCAACACCATTTATAATTGTGGCTTCAAAGATCCATCTTTTCTGTTTTTAAAATAACCAGATGACCCCAGATTACAAACAAATATATTAAAATTGGTTGCCGATGTCAGTCTGGGCAGAATCACATTGGGCTTGAAAAAGTGGTGATTAAATTTCTTAATTGGATTGAGAAATATCAAGGTAATCAGTGCAGAGTGACTAAATTGGGCTTTACCTGGCGCCTCTTTCTCGTGTTCTTCAGGCGCATCCTCCACTGAATAGATGTGGCCGAGTTCCTGTCTCGCTGGAATGGGTGACATAATCCAGACATGGAGATAAACCGTGAATGATCACGTCAAGGTCTGTCCAGACCAGACCTTGAAGCTTATAAATATGTTTTAATTAAAAATCAGGATAATAGTTTAAGAATGGCAGTCACCATTTGCACCTTTTCATCGAGTTACTGTTAAAAAATGGGAGTAAAAAAATGTTCTTTCCCATCGGTAACCCCTGTCCTCTCTGTAGATGAGATAACATATTGGATTTTTTTTGCTGCTTGCACATGGTAACATTTCGTGCAGCAAGGACAGCAGTATAATGGCATATAGGTCACCATGACAACAAGGTATTTAAATTGTAAACTAAAGTACGAATATGACAAGAGCTTTGTGATATGCATGCACAATCTAGAGCCACCACTTTTTATTTAATTTATTTTTTTTTTTTTACCTTCTTCAAAGACACCAACTCCGTCTTCTTTGTAACTCCCTGTCACCGTTTTTAACCTGGATGCATCATTCTGCTCTCCGCTGGTGCAAAAGCTTACTGAACTGCTAGGAGTATTTTAATTTTTTTTTTTTTTTTTTTAAAGAACCATTCCACCGTGCCATAAATACGACTGCAAGAAAAACCAGAATCTAAAAAAAAGATCATGAGCATAAGTGAATGAGAGGGGCGGGGTAACAAAAAAAAAAAAACAGTAGTGAGGCGGTGAGGAAAATCTGCTCGGAGTCATTGCGGTGTCATTCTTGCCCTTACTCGGCTTCTTTTGTCCTTGTGATAGTGGAACATGTATTAATGAGCGTGTCACACAGGCACCATGCACAGCAAAAACACTAACCTACTCGGTCCGCCCACGTTCTTATCTTTTGGAGATGACAGCTCAAGGCTGGCTAAATATACCGCCTAACCACACGTACTTACGCATACAGGCTCCTATTTATGGCGTATTCTTTTCCCAGATGCAGGGGATAAAAGTGTCCTTTTTTTTTTTTTTTTACATCAGCTGCAACAACTCTGAGGAATTTGGCTCTAGTGAGTATTGATGCTATCATGAGATCAGATTTTTTTTATTTTTTTTATCAGCTGCTGTCATGAGGGGGAAAAAGGAAAACATTGGATTTAAAGCGGTGGTGGGAATGATAAAATGGGCAGAACGTTTAGTCTTTAGATTCTATGTAATGATATCATCTTCTGTGAGAGCTGAGTCAAAGTCTGATAATGTGGCTTCTTAGAATGCCCCTAAAATACGACATGAAATCGAGATAATGTAATCTGCTGTAATATTACAAACAATATGTTCTTGTGAAATCTAAACTAAAAAGATTGAAATGAAGGGGGAAAAAGAGGTCTTCTTTGAGGGTTTAGCTACA